ATAGAATAATGTTTGCTGTATATTCTCCAATCTCCTGTGAATATATCTAGCGATATACGATTACTTGTTGACGTGATACGCATACAATTTCTTTCATTCATTATACAATCTTAGGTACACACAAGCGGACCCTTTCATTGGGTGTAATAGGGCAAGTGGTTGATACGGCAAACGGAGCGAGGCGGGAATTATTCATTAATTTTAATATTCTTTTTAGGAACCACACTGAAAGGGCCATTTTATTTTAGAAAACGTTTTGGTTTGTTTTGTTTTTCTTTGGGAGTTTTAGTACATGTATTTATTTTGAGAGTAGGCCCTCTTGTCACCAACCCCCTTTGGTTCCGCCATGGACAAAACATGCATATTGATAGACATCCTAGAGGAGACGGGTCTAAATGGTATTAGGGATAAGGTAATACATGTATATAGATATTGCAAACAGATCACCCTAATACATATGCACGTAGGAACTTCCATCACAGCACATTGCATGGCATACACCCGTCGTCATCAGTTCAGTTAGTGTCGAAAAGTAGGACGTTAAACTCTATTGCATTTCACAAGCATAGGCTATATTACCCTTCTCCATAATATTCTACCTGTGCCACTGAGAGAGAGAGAGAAAAGAGAGAGAGAGAGAGAGAGAGAGAGAGAGAGATGGGGTTTTACGTCCACTCGACACAAACTAGGTCATTTCGGTACTAACATATGGTTTAATTTTATTTCAATAATTCGCTTGCGCGTAGTGGTCTTTAGCAGTGGGAGGAAACCGGAGGACCCGGAGAAAACCCACGAGGTTGGACAGGGGATCCTACTCCTTGTCACGTACAACCGGGGATTCGAAACCACGCCAGTCGACTCAATGACAGACTTTATGATACAGCGCGCGCACGCTAACCATTCAGCCATCCACCCCCACCCCCACTGAGAGAGAGAGAGAGAGAGAGAGAGATAGAGAGAGAGAGATCATTTCTGGACAAACATGGTTCAATTTTATTTCAATAATTCGCTTGGGCGTATGGGTTTTTAGCCGTGGGAGGAAACCGGTGGACCTGGAGAAAACCCACGAGGTTGGACAGACGATCCTACACCTTGTCACGTACAACCGGGGAATCGAAACTACGCCTGTTGACTCAATAACAGACATTATGATGTAAGGTACACATTAAATAAGATCCCAGATCCTAAATCAGTTACCATCAAAAGCACACAAGTTGTACAAACATGAGAATATACATCAATAGGTCAGGGGTTATCTGTGATAGTAAATAAAATCTACGTTTATTTCAATCATAAATAATATCAAAAATTGTAAATACTGCTCAGAGATCGAGTTAAAGTAAACAATCGCTTGTTTAATTGAAAATTTTTTGTCAGTCACGAACAATCCAGAGTATTTGTCCTTAAAGGTAAACGTTGCGTCCATCAATTTTACATTTGTGATATACATTTGGTTAAAGATACATTATGGAAGATTAGATAAAGAGCTGGCAGTTATCACTATAATAGTTAAAAACTAGATTATGTAAAGCTCTTCGATGCGATTGATTCGTAACCACGTATTGATGATTTCGGATGTGACTCAGTACACGGACATTAGTTATTGTTACCGATGGACGAAGAGAGCTACACAGATCAAAATTAAATCTAGATGTAATAAAATTCACGAATCAAAATTGATAGCTATGAGTATTTCCGAATTATTCGAGCGGGTGCAACCTGTGTTTTCGAAACAGTATACTTATATTTTTCTACCCCCCACCCCCTCAACAACATAATAAACATGCCCTTTAATAATGTCACGAAGAATACACAACACACAAAACAAACCAATTCCGACAAAAACCCGGAAATATAATTAAGACATATGGCAGACAACACGTTATACTGAAGAAAAGGTGCGGATAAAGACGGCAAGATTCATGTATATAAAATAACACTATATGTCGCGGATAAAGAAATGGAGTTTAACGTTCACTCGATGTAAGAGAAGAGTTGAAATTGTTTCCAGTAGTGTATAGCAGAACATAATGTAATATGGTGCCAGACATATTCCATGGTATTACTTTGCACGGCTCATAGTTCCATTCCTTTTTCGTGTTTATTACAGAAATGAAATATGAGTTTAAGTCTTAAGTTTCTGCATCAACTGGGATAGTGAAGACGGGTATATGTTACACAGTGCGCTATACTGTACATTTTGCCTAGATACTGGCGTATCCGAATACTCTTTTCGAATTCCAACAGCGGAAAGCCAGTGGTTCTTTTACGTGCACGCTAACGGGGCATCGGTTCTTCTTCCTACCCCTAGGATACTATACATGGGACTGATATAAATTGGCCTTAATAGTGGAGGTATCTTTATACTGTGTTGGGATCTCAGGCTACAGATTTGGTATAATAGTTTACACTCAATCTGATTAAAACACAGATCTTATTTCGTTTCGTTTTTCATAGTTTAGAATTTCGTTTAACACGTCTTTACTACTAGTATACACTAGTGTAGGTCATCGGAAGTATAAAAAAAAAAAACGAAACGAAATATAGAGCTGTATTTTAATCAAATTTGAGTTTATAATATACTATAATACTGATTGGTCGTTAAACGATCTTTCATTATATATACTTTTGACTGATAACAGTTTTGTTGTGAAAGATGAACAAAAAAATAGAATTCGGGAAATCTAGTTTAAAAATGTACTTTCCGAACGTGATCGATGTCTTCTATAATTTCAAGGTTACCACAGAGATTGTTGTGTAAACTTTCCTTTCAGTGTAAATGTATGTTAAAGAAGATTCAACATAAAGTCTATAATTTATATGTCAAAGGAGACAAGTATCATATGATTCCCACGGTATAGACTAGCACTATGACCAATTACGTGTCCTCGTGTTGTTTGTTCGCAAATTTTGACTTTGTTTGAAATGTAAATAGTGTTTCTAATCCTTATACTTCGTTCAATGGAGGGATGAAATGAAATTGGGTTTAACATTCTACTCTTCTGTATCAACCGGGGTAATATGCCATTCAGTTTACTATAATATGACGTCAGGATGACGTCATTTCCGCCTAGTCTTAAAACCAAACTGACAAGGGTTCTTTGACTTCTTTTATGTGCACGCCAATGCATACACGGCACTTTTCGCCGGGTCCGTTCTCCACCACAGACAAGGGGAAACCGAGCTGGAAAATTCCGTGGAACTTTCTCGACCAACACCGGGATCGAACCGTAGACGGATCTGGGTATTGAGCCTTCGCCATACTCACTGAGCCATCTTTGGATGGGTAGGCCTAATAAAAATATGCACTTTGACTTAGTTTACCGGCCTATAAGGGAGCGTGGTGTTGTTAATGATTGACAGGCGACACTGACGGGCTGTCACAATAACACAGATATTAATACGCAATAGCAATAAATATACCTATCTAACTGTTTTTTTTATGACAATATTTTTATATTTTTTTATCTCAACGTTATCACACCTCTAGACGTTTTACTTTATCTCTTCGAGTTTTTGTTATTGTGCATTTATCCTGTAATTTATATTCAGGTCCTATATCTGTTCAAAGTTAGTACAAAAAGCGATCGTATCTGATCATAATTAATTCGTAATACTTCATTAAACATTATTTCATGTCATTTCTATGTTGTTGTATTCTGTATTGGTTAGTTTGTTTGTGTTTTTAACTGGCGCGGTTTCGAATCACCGGTTGTACGTGACAAGGAGTAGGGTCGCCTGTTCAACCTCGTGGGTTTTCACTGGGTACTCCGGTTTCCTCCCACTGCTAAAGACCCCTAAACGCAAGCGAATTATTGAAATAAAATTGAACCATGTGTTAGTCCCGAAATGGCCTAGTTTGCGTCGAGTGGACGTTAAATCCTCCCACTGATAGAGACTCCTACGCGCAAGCGAATTATTGAAATTATATTGAACCATGTGTTAGTCCTAAAATGACCTAGTTTGTGTCGAGTTGACGTTACTCTCCCCTCTCTCTCTCTCTCTCTCTCTCTCTCTCTGTTTTATTGTAGCCTACAGTTATCCTCCATTTTCTATTCAGATCCTTTATCTGTTCGATGTTGTCGTTAGTACAAAAGCGATTTAATTCACTGGATAATTATTTTTCAGATAAATATATAAACTCCATTTCATGTCCTTTACGTTTTACTATAGGCTATTGTTTGTCCTGTTTGCGTTTTATTACACAGTTATCCCGCATTTCCTATTCAAATCATGTATATATAATTGTTTAACGCCAATAAAAAGATTGTTAAATTCATTCGTCGTATCTGATATATTTTTCATCGAAGTAAAAACTGTTGACATTTTAGCTGGAGTATGTTAAAGAAGGGTGTGTTCGTATAGAACGTATATTTAATACTTTACGATTTACCTGTGAAAAGATTTTTACTGTCAATTGTGTATAGGGGGTATTATTCACACATTCTTGTGAATTGGGGATTTGCGTCCGTGTCTTGGAGTAGGTGATATCGCAGAAATAAATTTAAGAACACGAATGACCAAATGGCCCCTTCCAGATATGGAAAGGGGGATATATAACTGTGTGAAACGGGTTTCTTTTATGTCCACTTCGACCGAACTGATATCGCAGACAAAGTCCGCTTCCACTGAAATGACATCGCGGACAAAAGGGAGATATGCTTACAATTTTAAGCTCCATTGTTTGTGTGTAGTGTTATGTTGGGTTTTAAAGCAGTCGCTGGTTTTGTGATGTTTTAAAGGTTTAGGTTTTGATTAATATCAAATTTTAAAAGTTAAGACACCCCCCGATGAGTCATTATTTATTATATATGCACGGAGGCATATATAATTGTTCGTATGTCAAGTCAGGTAGACAATTGTAAAATATGATATTAGGTGAGTTCAAATAAAGTGTGTTACCTAAGGTACGAAAATTATAGGTGTGTTGTCGAATATCGCATACATTACAAAAAAAAATTTAAAAAAATATAAACTAAAACTTTTGTTTAAATACTTACAATTATACCAACGGCAATGACAGCCACAAAATATCCAATTATCACCAGAATATCTCCCCAATGGAGACGCGAATCAGCCATTTTCCACTTTTTAAAATTGTCTAATCCAAGTTTCTTAACATGAAGACAACATTGAACTACCTTTTAACTAAATTTAAATACGGTGTTTTGCTGATATTGTGAATTATAAGTGTCACACCTGTAGCCAATATGATATACCTGAGATACTCGGCCGTCTCTTCACCGTGATATCACGACAGGTAAATGATACTCGTTCTACTCAGCGTTTTAACCTGTCTGTCCTACAACCAACTGCATTCACCTATAGTGTATATCGTAACGGTTCAATTACCGCTTACTTCGTTCCGCTCTGTTTAACGTATTGAAGGGGCCACTGCTCAAGAGAATGCCAGTGAATAAAACTTTTGAAATTTAAGATAAATTAAGTAAATATATATGCTATTCATCATAGTTTTAGTTAAAACTTTAACGAACAGGTCGTTCACATATATCGAAAGAATATTTAATATAAAACAATTTAACATAAAGGTTTCTCCATCTTTGAGCGGCATTAGCAATTGGCATACCTAATAAACACAAAAAAACATAATATGGAACACAATTACTATTTTAAAAAAAGATAAATTTCTTACTCTTATCCATAATATTGAAAATAAAAAAGACGAATTAGAATTCAATATTGGTCCATTTCAATCAATATTGATGTTATTATCTTACAGTGAAAATATTGGATCCTAATATCCAATATTTAAGACACATTGGACATTTTAAAAACAGTACACGACTCGTGTATCCTATGGACACAATGGTTTGGAGTGCCATTTGTAATAAACACAGAAAAACACATCTCAGAAGGAAACGTGGAAGTCATTAAAAATGGCTGATTCACAAACGACCAAAATAAAAAAAAGAAGAAAAATAGAGACCCCCCCCCCCCAAAAAAAAACAAAAAAAAAAAAACAACGTATAGACTGAACTAAGCAGGCGCAAACGACTGTCGTTCAGTTTGGGCTGTTCGAGTATTTCACCGAACATATTTGATTAAAAATTACAATAACAATTTTTAAATTGAATATTAAGTACTTTATGTACACTCATATTACATTAATGTGTTCTTTTAGACCCCTTTCGTCTATTTACAGGTTCCGAGAAACACGAGCTAAACTAAACGCCCTTTAATTGAAGCTACGTTTCGTGGGGGTTCTCTCAACGTTATTAACGACATAAAACCGTTTGAATGAAACCGACTCATTCTTATTGAAAGAAGTCTCAATTTTGGAGATTAGACTATATTCCCTGTGACCGTCATGTCTACCCCTATAAAATTACATGCTATCTATTAATCATAAATGATAAGTCACGGTAGACATGGGATGCTTCTGTCACTCTCTAGTTAGTTGAAGTCATTGAAAGGACACTCTACCATTTTTTCTGTGTCTTAGAAGGTCATATGAGCCGAGGAGAACCGTTGTGATTTTTCAATCTCGTCCTTCACTTATCAAGAATAGTGTTTTGAGACTGATAGTCTGTCTAGTTGTTTGGATGGGACAAAAAACCGAGGTCCACCTGTGTACACATCGGCATGCACATAAAACAACCCTTGATTGTTGGATATCGATGACGATTAACCCGATACGTCTCTGTTCTGGCAAAATTCGTTTAATTCGCATTGCATTCTTTAATGAAATAAAATGAAATGGGGTTTAACGTCTTACTGTACTGCTCCGACTGGGCTAATGAAGATGGGCATAGGCCATACAGTGTGCTGGGGGGGGGGGGCGGACTGCGGTGCTACGTCCTACTCTTATATCGAATTCCAACTACCAAGGGATCTTTTACGTGCACGCCAATCTGTACACGGGACCTCGGTTTTTTGTACCATCCGAACGACTATCCGTTATCCCTGCACCACTGACAAAGGGGAACCACGTCGGAAAATCCGCATAAACGTCCTCGACCAACAGGGGACCTCCAGGTTAGCGAGCCAACGCCTTACTAACTGAACCACAGCGGCTGGGGCGGGGCAGCGGATAGGTTTTTTTCTCGCATGCCTTCGGATTGTTTCCCGTGAATCTCTAACAGGGCCGATTGTTGAACATAATAGATTTAAGATTATTAAAGCTTTGTGGGTAAGGAGGTCATGACCTAGCATTCCTTTATAAAGATTATTTTATACTAAACATGTGTGCTGCAAATATAGACAACCAACCAAGCAGAACATTATATACAAAAGATGAGTAATACATTAGTTCTTTCTAGGGTGAGGGTCACGGTGGCTAAGTGGGTAAGACACTGGCCGAGAAAGTTCACCCAGACTATTCGGCGTGGTTCTCCCTTGTCAGTGATGCAGGACGGAGGGCCTGACAAGGACATCTGTCTAGTCGTTCGGATGGGACGAAAAACTGAGGTCCCGTGTACATATTGGCGTGCACGTAAAAGATCCATTGACAGTTGGAATTCGATATAAGAATAGGCCTTACTGCAAAATTTCCCTTATAGCACACTGAATGGCGTGTGCCTGTCATATTTTGGAGAATAAAACTACTTATTTTTGTGTTAAAGGTCCTTAAAATCCTCTACCTAAGGGCCGAGCAACTAACTCAATATACGCGATACGTTTTCAAACAACCTAATCCCGTCAGTCTTCATCTGAAAATGGAGACCAGTGTCCCAAGCTGTATTATACGGTGTCTGGATAAAACCTGGGGCCTGTTTCACGAAATTTTAACTAAGATAAAATCCAAATTTTAGTAATTTGATTGGATAATATTAGATTGATTTTAGTGCTTAGCCAATCAAAATTGAAGTATCTACTAAAATTTGGATTTTATCTTTAGTTAAGATTTCGAGAAACAGGGCCCAGGCTTTTAGTTTATAAATAACGTATAGGTGAAATTAACTTTCGTTATCAAGTACAGCACCTTGGTCATGCACTGTATAAAACTCTAAAGGAACGGCAATATATTATCAGGTCACCCAACGAAAAGATTGAGACAATTAAAGGGACAATAACACTCTTGCTGGCTTGACAGCTCCAGTAAATAAATATTAGCCTTATTCCAATTATTAGATGTTTAAGTGTCCTACCTGTTGTGTAAATTATCCATTACATCCTATTTTACTTGTCCAGAGGGTTCGAAAATATTTTTAAATCCAAGTCACATTTGAAAAGGTTTACGTTAGGCTTTTCAAATCATTTAGTTGAATTTTTCCAATTTTTTAAATTAGGTGTGTTAAGATGAAATTTGTATCATCAATTAATTGGAATACTGTAAAATAGTACAATTTGTTGACCAGAATAAAGATTGGGACATATTATTCTGTTACAACAAGAGTGGTATTGGGCCTTTAAGGCAAATACACCATTCCTCTATATTTTGGCGCTTAAATTTCATATGTACACGGGCTTTTATTTCTGAGACTCTGTTAGAATCGGGGTGGTCCCTTTAAATATTGAATACCAGATTACCAGAAGCCCATCTTTTCACGGTAAGATAACAACATCAATGTTGATTAACATTGACCAATATGTTGTGTTTGCAATGTCGAAGACTGTGGGCGATACTGAGTTAAAGTCTTGCCTCTTTTAAAGGAACAATTGTTTCATATCTGAAGCCTAAATTAAAGTCATAAATAGTTATACTATTAATATTATATAATTAACCACAACCGAATATCAAAAAAACCAAAACAAAAACTTTATGAACTATAGACTGACGCTTGTACGAAAACGTAGGCATAATTATTATTACTTTATTTGTCTAAGATATATTAAGATGGCAGAGTGGCATCAACATAAACCAGTGTGACTTATAATGGTATTTTTGATTATTTCTGGCCCAAGACATTACATTTAACTTTTATTCTGATAGATTCAGGGTCGAATTTATCAGTACGATCCCAAGTTTATATAAATACTAGAATAATGCCCGGCTTCGCTCAGGGGTCATAACCCCGAAACCGGAAGTGGTAGACTAACGCTACCTGGCCTATGTTACTCCCGGTCCGAGTTACCCCTATACCCCAAATTTCAGACTCAGGGCAGACCTAGTGTAGCCGCCAACCCCGAACAGACAGACAAACAGACAGACAGACAAACGACAGTTACAAATATTAGTATAGATAGATTGGTATGTTTCAGTAGCAAATATTCAGTGACCCTCCAGAAACCCGTGAACCCTATGCTAATGAGGGAGGAAGAAATGGGATTTAACGTTCACTCGACACAAACTTGGTCATTTCGGGACTAACATAATATGGTTCAATTTTATTTCAATAATTCGCTTGCGCGTAGCTTATGAGTCTTTAGCAGTGGGAGGAAACTGGGGGATCCGGGGAAAACCCACGATGTTTGACATGCTACCCCACTCTTTGTAACGTACAAGCGGGGAGTCGCGACCACGCCACTTGACTCAATGACAGACCTTATAGTTTCACGGGCACGCGTTAAATCACTAGAACCCTTCCCCCTTCCCTAGGCTAATGAGCTACTTTGTCTATTGATAAATCCGACCCTGGGCAGATTTGGACTTTGATAAGATATTTCTACTCGTTATGCACACCAACTTTAAATAAGAAAAATTAGAAGCAGGTGCACTTTTCGTTCTAGTGTTTTCGATCGTTATCAGAAATTTTATATAAGTATTTTTGTTTAGACAGGTTCTATGTCAATGATACGATGAGTACTCTTAATACGGATTATTTTACTCGGATATCACGGTACAAACAACAAGAACAGGATTTACATAAATAAACAAAATAATACACAATATACGTAATACTATGAAATCAGAAGAAATTGATATGATACTTAATAAAAGTAAAAAATACCGGGAGACCACTTGTGGCTCAGTGAGAAAGACGTTTCCCCGCTAACGATTCTAACATTGTTGTTAAGCTGAACTCTCAAAACTCCTACACGTCCCAGATCATATTAAAGTAGCTAAAATGGGCTTCTGATATCCAATATTTAAGACAAAATATACATTTGACATTGGTACACGAATCGTGTACCATAATGCGTTTCAGCGCCATTTGTAACAAGGAACTCGAAGAACGAGGCAGATAGACATATTCCACAAGTCATGTCAAACGGTGACCGCATATTCTTATCTGGAGAGCCTACGCAATAAATACTATCGGTGTAGACTGGAATATTCAGACGCTAGAGATTGCCATTCGAATGAGACCTCCGGCGTATTTCGCCGAACATAACTGATTTATTATATGTGTCGAGACCCATTTGTGTCAATTTCTAGGTCACAAGTATTAGCGATTTAGCTCCT